TCCTCTGACCTTACCTAGTGCACTCGGGGGCTCCTGGGTTCGATTTCATCTCTAATCCAACCCTGATTAAGAACGAACTGAAGAATGATTTATTGTTAGATAAATGTGCCGATCGAACATCGTCGATCCTAACACAACACCACACCATTATTTTCGCGAAGTCCAAAATTTGAAAACGTCACATTGCTGATGACCATTTGAAAGTGACCTGCGTAAGCGAAGAACCACCGTTCCAGGTACTAAAACTCGTCCAACAAACAGTTCCTGATAACGTTCATGGCAATGAAGTACTCGTCAGATGGGTTTCAACACCTATCGATCCACTAGACATTGGCATAATCAATGGTAAATATCCGAGTGTCGCTCCGCCGCCGTGTATCGGTGGCTCTGAGGGGCTTGGAGTGGTTGAAAAGGTTGGCATATTCGTTGTTTCGAGTTCTCGCTTAAACTGGGTGAGTGTGCGATTCCAGTGAGCTGGATGACCAGCGTTGCGATTGTCAAACTTACTGCATATGCTGTTATCGAGAGCCACTCTATCTCCAGATATGAGCAATGATAATTGATCGAACTGACCAAATTCAATTAACAGATACGATTCTTACTATTACCTGCGAAATACGCTTAATTTACCTACCACCATAGTTCAGTCATCATATTCAGGTCGTCCACTTTCCATTCAGTTACCCCAAAATCAACTGATAATTGCCTCATCAGTTTTAGATTGGATCAAACGTGAAAAGACTGGCTGTTGGTGCACATGTTATACCACTTACAATCAAACATCCGACATGGACAAATTATGCAATCTTGAAAGCGGATGAATTGAGAACGATTGATAAAAAAATTAAGATCGTATGTTCAATAATCTCCTTATTTTCTATTTCTTCTATAGTTTATTCACCGTGCGATAACAAAATCCGAGCCATTTACTATGACTGTAATCTCTTAAACATATCTACCCCTTACGAATTTATGTGATCCCAGCAATTCTTTCACGATTCGTCGCTGAAACTTCTGAATAAATCTGAAAATAGCTAGTGGAAAAAAGCATCATTCCTTTTTATTACCAAATCTACTGCAGGAATTCGCATCTACGCTCCTCATCAATCC